CGGCGTGGCCACCGCAGCCGCTGCCGGCGTGACTCGGTTTTGCCCGGAAGCGCGCACAGGCCAGACCTGGCTCCGGGGCGCAGCCCTGCGTCGGCGCCATCCAGGTCTTTGAAGCAGGCACGTGGCTGCGGGTCGGGCGCTCAGGGCGGCTCCCCCGCCGGGCAGCCGGGCAGCTCACTGACCGCAAGCGAGGCCGACTCTGCACGCGGGAAGTTCATCTTGAGGACCCGGCGCCTGGCTACCACAGAAGCAGGCTTTGGGGCTCCACACACAAAGGCCGAAATAACGGGGTGCCATTGGCGCATTTCACACCCACACACGCGGGTTGGGTTGAGGAAAACCTGAGGCCGGTAAAGCGAATAGCTTTCCCAAGCTGTGGCCTCGAAGAGCTGGTTTGGGGGTTGCTGGCCGTGGCTCCCAGGGCCTCCACTGGACGAGCTCGCCGAGGGTGTTGTTCCGAGGCGGCTAAGCAGAGGCTCCCTTAGGCCTTTCCGTTCGGGGTGGGGAAGCGAACTGGCCTGCTGAGCAGAAGGCAGACCTGGCGAAGGGCCCTGGCTAGTCTGGTGGGATCCCTGCTCCGTCGCTGTCACCCTGGGATCTGACTCCCCGACCCCTGGCCAACGGGAGGGCTGAGGGCCCTTCTGGATGCCGGGGGAACTCATCCTCCCTCAGTGAATAGGAGGTAGGAGGGCCCCACCCATCCTGGGCCGCCCCAGCAGAACATCTTTGCTGCAGTCTGGAGCTCCCCACTTCTAGAATAAGCAGTTGGAGGTGGCTTAGTAAAGCTTGGGAGGGCACCCCAGTCCCACCAAGGCAGTTTCGATGCCTGAGCAAGCTCACACCCGCTGGTTGGTTCTGGGCTTCATAGGACTCAGCTGCTTTAGCAACCCTATGACAGTGTCGAGTCAGGTACTAGCGAGTACCTCATGAGCCCCTCAGATCCCCAAGCCAGAGCACCCAGGCATGCGTCTTGGGCGGTGGGACGGGAGATGGTAATGCAAGGGCGCCGCGTCCACCCCCTGCAGAGCCTCGCCTGGCCACAGCCGCCCACGTGTCTGTTCGCCGCCTCCCGGTGGCGCACACAGCCCAGTGGGCTCGAGGCCACGTGTAAGTCTTTGAAATCAGGTGTCTTGGGCTTGGGAGGCAAAGGGGGTGCAGAAGCTCCTCACGGGGGACACCTGAGAAGGTCGGAGGCCAGCTGAGGCCGACCCTAGGTTCAGGTACCAGTATTCGGGGGGGCTAACA